ATAATAAATAATAATAATAGATATAATAATATAATAATAATGATGATGATACTAGCAGTATAGTTAGTAATAAGTAATAATAATAATAACAACAGTAATAGTAATAGTAATGATAATAATAATAATAATAATAATAATAATGATAATAATAATAAATAAAATAATGATAATATTAATAATAATGATAATAATAATAATAATGATATGATGATAAAGACAATAGGATAATGATAACATGATGATAATGATAATAATGATAGCAAAAATCATCATGATATAAACATATAAAATAATAATAATTGATAATAATAATAATGATAAATAATAATAATAATAATAATAATAATAATAATAATAAATAATAATAATAATAATAATAATAATAATAATAAATAATATAATAATATAATAATAATAAAATAAATATAAATAAAGGAAAGGAAATATGTATCTATGATGATAAATATACACAGATATCGGATAATATAATAATAAGGAAAAATAATAATAATTATAACTATGTGAGGAAATTAATGAATGAGGAGAATGCATAATCGCAGTACGCTAATAGTGAGTAATTAATAATTGTATGAACAATAAGTAATGAAGAATGTATGATAGAGATAACAAGTAGCATAACGCACTTGAACCGCTAAAAGCAGGTGGTGAACAGCCACGCATAAGATTATATGATTGATAAGAAAGATAACAATGATAAGAAATATAGCATAAGATAGTAGCAGTGAGGTAATAAATTGAGACAATATAAGTGAAGAAAAATAAGTATATAATAAAATAATAATAAGATAAGTAAATAATGAGGGGAAATAAAAGTAATAATGGCATGGAGTAGTAATATGATAATTAATAATAATAATAATAAGAGATAATAATAATAATAATGAATAAATAATAAAATTGATTAAAATGAATAAGGATTATGAATGAAATAGGTATAGTAATGAGCAATGTCTAAGGATGTTGATAATAATAGTAAAAATGTAATAACAGGGGATTAGACACTAAAACAATAGATACAACACTAAACCAATAATAATAATTTATAATGATACTAACATTTCTACGGGTTGAAGTAATTATAGTTGATAATCAATGGCGATAATAATAGATATCAAGAAAGAAAGAAATATAAATAAATTACACGTGGGATATCTACAAACACACAAAAACTGATGAGGATTAATAATAATAAGAATAGAAATGATATAATAATAAATTAGAATAATAATAATAGGATATGAATAGATAATGAATAATAGAATGAAATAGAAATAATAATAGAATAATAATAATATAAGAATAATAATAAGGATAATAAAATAAGAAGAAGAAGAAATTGAAGAAGAAAAAAAATAAATATCTAAGAAGAGGTAATATCCGACACACTCAAACGACAAATAATAATAATAATAAAAATAGATCATGAATAATAATGAATAAATAAATAATAATAATGAAGAAAAAAAATGAAGTAATAACATAAATAAATAAAAATAAAGAAGTAAGAAGAAGAAAGATAACGAGGAAGAAGAAAAAGAGAAGAATAAGAGAGAGAGAAGCATTCCCTTTAATTATGGGGCATAAGGATATCTTCACATACATATAACACACACTATAAGATATAAATGTTTTTAATATACAAAATTAAATAATAAAGGTAAATTAATTATAGATAGTAAATAATGTTAATAGAATAGCTAAATATAATATAAAGTAATATATAATAAAACTAACAATATAAATAAACAGAGTAAATTAAATAAAGTAATAATTAAATATATTAAATATAAATTATAAATAATAAAAATAATTTATATAAATAATAAATTAATAATAAAGATTAACATAAATAATTATAAAATAATATAACGAAACTTATATAAGTAATATATTATAATCAGTGTAATATTAAAAGTAGTATTATAGAATCAATAATATATAAATATGGATGATGTATATGATGTTATGTATATTTATTATAAATTATAATATTAAATGTATATATAATGTAATTTATAATGATATAGATTATAGGTATGTATTATAAATTAATGAGTAGATAGAGTAATAATAGTAATGAAGGAATAGTATAGTAAGTATATAGAATTATAGTATAAATTTAATGCGAGAGAATAACGAGTCATAATTGAACTAGTGATATACGGAAATAATGTAGAGTAACATAGGAGTGAATGAAGATGAAACTATTATATATAACATCGATAAGAGCGTATAAAGTAATACTGTGATATGTATGGAAGAATAAGAATAGAATAGAAATAATTGAATAATAGAGTATAAATATAATTAGAATAATTATAGAAAGATGAATAGATGAGTATAATATAAAAGGTATATATAGTATAGAATGATTATAGAAATGAGAAAGAATAAATAATAGAGAATTAAATAGGGTAGAAAGTAATTGAATCAAGTAATCATAAATAAGAAGACAGGGAGAATAGGAGATAATATGTTAATAAAGACATAATAATGAGAAGATAATATAATAGTAACTATAAAATAAGGAAGTAATAAGAAGACCATGCATAAGATGAGCATCTGACATTACTCCGAAAAGACAACTGTAGAATTAAAATAAACGGTAGATTGACCAGAAGCGAGTAACTGACGAGGTTGTAATTAAGAAGACCTACTGCTAATAGTGGGCGAGTAACTAGTTTAATACGAAGATAAGACTATAATATGAAACGAAAACCATCATAAATATATAGAAATTAATAATAATAAGATTAATTAAATAATTATATAAAATGAAATAATATAGTTAAATTAAATATAATATAATTAGAGTAATAATTAATAATTAATAATATATATCAAATAGTAATAAAATTTCAATATAGTATAGTGATAATGCGAGATAATGAATGAGGTAGATGGATGAATTCCTCCCGATCTAATGGATAAGCAGCAAGGAGCACACAAAGAGAATAAATAAAATAATGATTAATATTATTGTGAATTATATAATAAGAAATAATAAAATGATAAATAAATATATAAGAATATTATCGACCATGGAAGGAGATAGAATATCCACAGAACACAAATAGATTAATTTGAATGTTAGAGATATATAATACTGCAGATAAGCGACTTAAGATAGAATAATACGACCGAAGAGATTGAATGTAATAAATACTATAATATCAGTGAACGATCCTACCTGAACTTTGCATCCCAGCGTGTAAAGTGGAATAATCAAGAAATAACTCAGCCTAAGCGTGAATATGATCATTGAAACCATCGTATCAGCTCATAGTACTTAGAGCTCCGTGAGAACCTGCATGGCTGTAGGTTATCTGGCTGGAAACTTAGTCAGACGAGAATCGTAAATTGAGCAATCTGTGCAGTGACTCGATGCCGTACCTGGCTAACGTGAGATGAAGAAATGAAGATAGATAAGTAAGAGAAGAGTCGCCAAGAGGAAGAAGAGTACGAAGGAGAATAAGAGTATAGATAGAATGATGAAGTTAGCTAGTTAGGATGAGGAGCAAGGAGGAACGGTAAGGGAAGTGGTAAGAAAGAGTACGGGGAGATGGAAGAAAAATGAGTTGTGAGAGAGGATAGAAATAGAGGATGAGGATAGCAGAAAGATAGAGATGTATAAGGAGGAACGAGTAGAGATGAGAGAGATATGATTATCAAGAGGAAGAGATCAATGAAGAGAGAGAGGTGAAGCGTAAGAGAGAGATAGAGAAGGAGTGATGTAGAAGGAAGATGAGTAAGTAGAGAGGTGGATAGTAATATGAGATTTAGAGTAAGAGTAATAGAGTAATAGAAGATTAAATGTTGTGTAGAGAGAAGAGTAGAGAGAGGATAGGAGAGAGAGGTGAACTAAGGTAGAATGTAGAACGAAAACGGAGATAGGCCAAGATGAGAGTAAAAAAAAAAGCAGGAGAGATATGAAGAGAGAGAGAGAGCAGAAGAGAGAAGGAGCGGTGAGAGAGAAAGAGGAGAGAGAAATAAGAGAGAGTAGCACGGAGGATTAAAATAAAATAAAGGGTAATTCCGAAGAATAAATTGAACTAAGCGAGATGGGCGGCGGAAAGAAAGTGAGAAAGGAACGACGGATATAAAATAACGAAGGCAGATGGAAGCGGTAGTAGAGGCAGGTCAGGATAAAGGGCTGATAAAGGCAGTATTGTGGATGAAGATGAAAGGGAGACGTTAGTCTAAAGAAGATAAGGCTGGAGAGATCGAAGAAGTAGTGGAAAAATGCTACATTAAATGCGTGAGGGTATGGAACCAGCGCATTTGCGTACGACACTGTTACGGAATAATAGCGGGAGAAAATAAGAACAACGGGAGAAATATTTATATACGATACAATGGAGAAGAGGAGGAACCTATCTCGTCAGTATCGATGAGGAGAAAGACTAAGATAAATACCCATGTAACCTTATACTTGATTATCCTTATAAGATCCGGTTCTTTATCAACTCACCCAATATCTGTAGAACTCTTCCTATCTGATTCCACCCGCACCCACCTCTCAGTGCCGTGCAGCAACACTTCACACTTCCCAGATGCCATAAGATCCGATGCGTCAAGTCACATGAACAGAACCGCTAACACCATCATAACTGCTATCCACATCATAACATTCTTATACTTACCACGTGCGGGAACCGGCGCTCACAATATAACTAAACAGATACACTGAAAAACACTCACGAATCCTTTCCAGCCACTTTGAATGCAGCATCGCCTATCACGTCTATCTTGTAGACACTCGCACCACCGACAGCACATAACATTCTTGATATTATTTACATTTTTCATATGAAATTTCATGGTATCTAAGGTATTATCTGCCTATACAATTAATAATTAGTGTGTAGCGTCTCGCGAAACTGGATACGTGACGGCAGCACAGACACAGGTGATGACTAGAGAGAAGCTGCGCTTGTAAACTCACAGTGAGAAGGGCGGGGATTAAGTCTGAGTGAGGGATGGGCCAGGAAAGATGCACAGAGGATATTACAATATCGACCGGGGAATTTGGAGAACCAAGAGCTGAGCCTGTTCGTAGGAAGCGACATCGAAATGTAGAGACTGTTGAGAAAGATGGGTCTTCCACGAGCAACCGTGGGAAGTATGGAAACTTGCAGAACACAGCGTGGATGAGAGCAAGTCATTAGTTCATGATAGCGGGAAACTCGCCACCTGGGAAGAACAGTACAGATACCGAAATTATGTGGTGAATTACGGGAAAGAAGTATATGTGGATTAAAGAGGTATGAGAGAGCGATGAGGAAGAGGAAGAAGGTAAGAAGAGAGAGAGAGAGAGGAGAGAGATGAGAGAGCGGGAGTCGAGAAGAGAGCTACGGAGAGGGAGCAGAGAGAGAGAGAGAGAGAGAGAACCGAGAAGAGAGGAAAGAGATGAGAAGAATAAGTGAGATTTGAAGAGATCAGAGGAAAGAGCACGAGACCGACAAGAACTTAATCTATGCCCGAAATGCCTATTCTCTCCGAGAGCCTACGCACCGCAAACTTTAAAGACAAAGATCGGTATAATAGAAAAGACTAATAGAATCGATAAGAGAAAAACGATAATATAGAAAAAAAAATGAGAGAGATACAGTGAATATACAAAAAGCCTAATCGAGGCAATAAAAATACCAGGCAAAGAAAGCAAGACACGAGGGAGAGAGAGAAGAGAAAGAGACAAGAAGGAAATGAGAAGAGAAAAAGAGAAAAGAGACAATAAGAAAGAGAAAAGAAGAAAGATGACGCGAGAAAGAGAACAGAGGACAGAGAATGCAGAGAAATAACAAACAAAAAAATAATCCCCCCTTCCCCTCCCCCCTTCTCCCACCAGACGAGATCTACGAAGGAGCCAAAACCCCCTTCGCTTCGGCCAGAAGGTCAACGCGCCGTTCTCCTGCGTGATGAACCTGAGGAACTTCCCCTTCGATTACCCAGCGATGCCGTCTGCTCCCTCCGCCTCAACTCCGCCCGCCAGGACTTCCTTTCTCTGGGACTCTCTGAATGTCTCCTATGTTGGGGAGGTAAGGATACGCACACACACACATATATATATGTGTGTGGTGTGTGGAGTGTGTGGTGTGGTGTGGTTGTGTGTGTGGTGTGTAGTGTCTGATGTTGTGTGATGTGTGATGTTTGTGTGTGTGTGTGTGTGTGTGTGTGTGTGTGTGTGTGTGTGTGTGTGTCTGTGTGTGCGAAGGTCTATATTATTACTTGACCTTGTGTACTGTGTGCGCGTGTTGTGTGCTGTGTATGTGTTGTGTGTTGTGTGGTGTGGTGTGTGTGTTGGTGTGTGTGTGTGTGTGTGTGTGTGTGTGTGTGTGGGTGTGTGTGTGTGTGTGTGTGGGTGTGTGTGTGTGTGTTGTGTGTTGGTGCTGTGTGTGTGTGTGTGTGCACATATATTCGTAAGGCTCAAAAGGAGAAGAAGAGGAGTAGGAGCGAGCATGAACACATTCGAAGGAAAAAGGGGGGCATGAGAAAGAGGAAGAACGAAGAAATAGAAAGACATAACAGAAAC